GGAACCTGTAGTCTCAGGTCACATGCAGTTTTGTGGCCTCTAATACAGCCTGATAAAACACAAAATTTAAATTTCTTGACAGCAAAATTAAAAATTATTATTTATGAAAATGTTTTCCAATCTCTTTTTCAGTAAAGATATCTTTCTAAATACAATTTATATAAATTACTGGTGCATGAAATTAAATACAGTTTTCCACTTCTGGTTTATGCCATAAAATGAATATTCAATAAAAGAATATCAATTGTTTCATTTCATTCACTCATGTGACTTTGTGTCAAATTATAAACTGGAACTCTATTCTATTATTTATAAATAAAAGTCTTTATGAAATGAAAAGATATTTAAAAAACCATAGCTGTTAAGGAAAAGAATTAAACCAAAACTTGAAAAACCACAAAATTAACTCCTACATTTATTATGATTCATTCAAAATTGATGACTAGATTCAGAATACTTGAACAATGAGAGTAAAAATATTCATTGTTCAAATATTCTATATATAAATTCATATATAGNTGTCGGATACAATTGTATTTGGTAGTCCATGTGTACTAAATATTCTTCTCAATAGTTTCACGGTTTCCTGGGTTGACTGAGTTTGTACTTCTTCTACCTCCACCCACTTCGAATAAGCATCCACTAGAATAAAATATGTACGTCCATAATGTTGTCCTGCATGATCAATGTGTACTTGGTCCCAGGGTCCCGAGGGTGATGGCCAATGAGTGTCTTTAACTGGGGTTGGGTTTGACCTCTGTTCTTGGCATTTTCTACACATCAATACCGTCTCTTCAATCTGGGAGTCCATTTCAGGCCACCAAAAATAGCTCCTGGCTGTTCTTTTCATTCTAGACATGCCCTCATGTGTGGAGTGTAACAGGTGTAATAGCTGTGGTTGCAAGGTTCTAGGGATAACTACTCTTTGTCCCCATAAAATGCAACCGCGTTGAATTGAAAGTTCTAGCTTTCGCGTAGCGAAAGGCATAAGTTCTTCTGGACTACTAAGTGGCCATCCATGTAAGATTGCATGTTCAACTCTTTTTAACACTGAGTCTTTGTTTGTGTCTCTGCTTACTTCCTGAGATGTGATGGGCAATTCTGGCTGTTCAAATATAAGGAATATCTCTCCTGGTTCAGGGATAGTCTTTTCTTCCACAGTAGTTGGTATACGCGATAATGCATCAACGTTAGTCATCTCTGCTGACCGACGATGTTCAATCCTATATGAGTATGCTGCTAATCTCAAACACCAACGAATCATTCTGGGTGAGATTAAATCAGGAATTGGTTTAGCAGGGTTCAGAAGGCCCACAACTGGCTTACAATCCGTATATATAGTAAAATTTCGAGCAGCTAGGTAATTATGAAATTTTGTGATGCCAAAGATTATAGCTAATACTTCTCTCTCGAATTGTGAATAATTTCTTTCTGCTGGGTGGAGTGTCCTCGATGCAAAGTATATAGGAGCTTCTGATCCATCTGGTAATATGTGTGAAAGTACTGCTCCAACTCCATATGGTGAAGCATCACATGACAACAATACTGGTTTATTTAAATCATAATGGATTAATAATGTTTCTGGTGTTAGCATCTTTTTTATCTTCACGAATGCTTTGCTTTGTTCTTTTTTCCAGATCCATGGTTTGTTTTTGTCTAGGAGTCTATATAATGGTTCAGCTTCCGTTGCTTTATCTTTCAAAAATCTATCATAGAAGTTTACAAATCCCAAAAATGCTTGTAACTCTTGTTTGTTTCTCGGGTCCTGAACCTGTTGGATCGCCGCAATTTTATCTGGTGTGGGTCGAATGCCNCTACTCCAGATAACTCGGCCACACCCTGGCAGTTCAAAAAAATCCTTAGTTAATTAATTTTCATTATAGACAGCTTTATGCCTCATAAAGTATTTTTCTGAGGTCTGTCTTATCAGGTAAATTACTGTACACAGTGTATTCATTAATTTTCATTTTCATGTAGTAAAGGCTCTATGCCTTCATAAAGGACGTACTTTTCCTTTTTTTTAAGGGTATTTGGACAGTTTATTCTCTCTTGTATTCTCAAGTAAACAATACATACAAGTACAGTACAATATTTTCTGAGTAAACACTCATACTTATTCTTTTTTAACCCCATTCCTGATAACCTGGCATTTTCACAAACTCGGCCACCCTTCGGTCCACATTAGGCAGAGTTTTCGAGACTCTACTGTATTTCCTAAGAAGGCATTAGAAGTTATGCATTTGAAATTATTTTAGTTAAAAAATGTTTTAATATTCAGGAATGCCCCATTTTGTTTTTGTACTTGAATACTAAAACAATTACTACCTGAATTTTAAAGTAATGAACCCTGAGGATGAATCACAGCTCCAAAAGTGCTTGGTTCTGAACATGTACAATATGATCATCTATAAATTTTCCAAATATAATAGTTCTGTTTTTAGTTTGAATATATAGAAATGTAGAAAACTTTGTATTAATTAATTAAACATTAATCAATACAATACTATCTATTATGGTTTCCATACTTGGTATTGTCTTTCATCTATATAACTCCATTTCTCAAGATTATGGAAAGACAGATGGACAACAGCGGGAATTTATAGGTCTACAATTGTTTCAAATTGTAGCCCAATAAAACAAAATTAATGTATAAAATTACATGAAATATTTAATCAGTTAATCACCAAATTATTCATTAATTGCAAATATTGTTTCAATTTCAGTATTTTGGTTTCATTTAAATGTAATCTGCTTATAATAAAGGAAAATTATTAAGTAGAAAAATATTTAAAGATATGAAAACATATTAAAGTTATTTAAAAAACTATTAAATAAATTTTAGTGCTGCTTTAAATTTGTTTTACAACAAATACTAAAATTTCATATTACATTTTACCTAATATCTGACCACATAATCACAGGAAGTATATTATTTGCACAATGTCAAACTGATTAAAGTTTAAAAGAATTTTAAATGAATCACTGTTAAAAACAAACTGCCTTCTATATACTCCAGTTACTTCCTGTTATGTCATCAAATCATACATTAACCATTTGTTCTTAATTAATAATGTCTTGGTTATGTTAACACCTCAATGACTTTTTAATAATATTCAAATCTTTAATATTAAACAAGTTTCTGCCATAATAAAAGTGCACTTAAATTACAAATTAATTACACAGAATTCATTCTTCTCTCTAATTTCAAATATCTTAAAAAAGTAAAATAGAGCATAACTAGGCTGTGCAGAACTATTAAAGTGACCAACTTTTTTACAATGAAAAGGAAGACACAAATACAGTAAATTGAAAAAAATATATGATAAATAAAAGAAACATTTCATTCATTGCAACAATAATACACTATAATAATCTCTACAGCATGCATATATGCCATGTCATGTTTCGGTAAGAAGTAAAAAAGCCACTTGTATGTGACGCGCTCTCTCAAGGTCTCCCATACAGAGCACATGTCTCATAATAACATCTCGCTGCACTGTACCGAGCCTTGATGAATCGGCATGTCAAATACAAATACGCCACATCGCATCACACGCAATGGATTGGTTTGGCATTGATTTGATCGAATACAGAGAATTACAGATTAGTCTTCAAATATTGAAAAGGAGGACACACAGGAGGACACTTTTTGAGGGAGGACAGACCTTACAAAAGGAGGGCAATTGATCACCTTAGAACTATGTAATTTAGGGGACCCTTGACATCTGGTGCCCAGCACTATTTAGGTATTTTTTAAAAATTCATATTAATACATATAATTTTTAAATTATTATCAAATAATTATTACTAAATAAAGTTTTTCATTCAATATAAAAAAAGACTAAAAATTATGATTTATTTTTCTGAAATTAATGAGAATTCAAGACATATTTTGTGATCTCAAATTTTTATTTGTTACATTACTATTGATATACAAAACCACAATGAACAACTTCATAATCAAACTATAAGAAAAAACACTATACGAAAAAAACAGTAAAGTAGTCAACTTTTAATATGATAAAGTGATAGTTTTAGTGATGTTTCAGGATCTATAAATCCCTATCATCAGATCCAGAAATTCTGATTTTCAGCAGTTTAACATTCAAATTGGAACAATTCATTCTTATTTATATAAATATCAACAGCTGTGCAATTTTTAAGTTTGAATACAAAATTTGAACTAAAAAATTTTTACAAAGACTGAAATTGAGAAATAAAACTTAACAAGATTAGGATTAAAGTAAAATTACAAAATGAAATTAGATTGCTATAGGATAAAGTGTTTTGTAACAGTCTTTGATGGAATATTATGTAAAGTTTTACTCTATCTGGTGAGATTATTTATTTTGGCAATAGGGAGAAGCCCAACCTGCTGTTTACATGGGCTGAATATTGGTTGAAGGGACAAAATAGGGTAAATCCAGAGATCCAGGTCAATGCCTTCTTTCCTTTTATTTACCTGAAACCTCTGTAGTGGCAATTATAAGCTCTTAGCTAGTCTGAATGTCAGGAACTTTGAATTTGGAAGTAATTGCCTTATGAAAAGTTTTGATTAAAATGTCTTATTTATATTTCTTTCTACACAGATATAAGATTATAAAAATAATATGAAAAGTTCTCAATTTTCTTTGACTGATTAAAGTACAGTATGTTTATTTTTCTAATAAAGGGAATCAACTTCAGACATTACACAATAAAATGAAATTGGATTATTCAACCAAATATTTTCAATACAATTTATTTTATCATCATCATCATCATCATCATCATGATAACTTGTAACAGCTTGTATTCTAATGACTTAAACTTAATATCATAAGCATACTAAACAAAAACAAATATAAAGGTGTCTTAAAATTCTTTATGTAGTTTTAACTTTAACAACTTAATATACATAATTTAATATATATAATTTAATATAAATATTATAAACTTAAAAACTATTTGCAAGCTTAAATAATAAAGTTTTTTATGCATTAATTTTATAAATTCTCAGATAAATTGATAGATGAGTGTCTTTTATATCGCTTTTGTTTTCGACATTGTTGCACATAAAAAACACTAGTTAATCAACAATTAACTTTATTCCTTCTCGATACAACCGACTGGGGTGACAACTACACAAGAACTCTCCCCGACTCCCGAAAGGTGTGTTGGAATGTTCACCCCTGACCCGACACCCAGATCATGTTACTACAGATAAGTCACAACGTTACAACAGATCTTCCTCCTCTAAAATGAAGTCTCGGAGATATGCCGGTAGTGTCTGTGTTCTAGAGCTCCTTCTAACCGGTGGTCCTTTGTCCTGATGTTGATTATTCTGGGGAGCTGGATGTTGGTTGTTCTGACAAACTGGATGTTGCTTGTTCTGGAGTGGTAGTTCTCTTCGAGCTATCAGTTGATCAATATGTCTTCTTTCTATAGTTCCTTCTGGTGAGGCTATCATGTATGTATATGGTCCGGTCTTCTGTGTCACCTTACCTGGTTTCCACTTCTTAGCGTCTCTATAACATCTGTAATTGATGTTGTCTCCTATTTGGAATTCTCGTATTCTTGTTTCCTCTTTTCTCTCCTTATATAGGTGTGGATTTAATCGATCATAGACGGTACGTAGTCTTCTTCCCATCAACAGTTCTGCTGCCGTTTTTCCTGTAGTGCTACTAGGTGTTGTGCGTAAGCTAAACAAAAGTCTGGGGAGCAACACCTCACTTTTTTCTTGGCTGTGATGTAATTTTTCGATTCTCTTCTTTATAGTTTGCACTTGTCTCTCTACTTGTCCGTTGGAAGAGGGATGATATGGAGGGGTAAATATGTGCTGTATCCCATTTTTTCGTATAAATTCTTCCATTTCTTGGGATTTAAAGCTTTGATGATTGTCGGATACAATTGTATTTGGTAGTCCATGTGTACTAAATATTCTTCTCAATAGTTTCACGGTTTCCTGGGTTGACTGAGTTTGTACTTCTTCTACCTCCACCCACTTCGAATAAGCATCCACTAGAATAAAATATGTACGTCCATAATGTGGTCCTGCATGATCAATGTGTACTCGGTCCCAAGGTCCCGAGGGTGATGGCCAATGAGTGTCTTTAACTGGGGTTGGGTTTGACCTCTGTTCTTGGCATTTTCTACACATCGATACTGTCTCTTCAATCTGGGAGTCCATTTCAGGCCACCAAAAATAGCTCCTGGCTGTTCTTTTCATTCTAGACATGCCCTCATGTGTGGAGTGTAACAGGTGTAATAGCTGTGGTTGCAAGGTTCTAGGGATAACTACTCTTTGTCCCCATAAAATGCAACCGCGGTGAATTGAAAGTTCTAGCTTACGCCTAGCGAAAGGCATAAGTTCTTCTGGACTACTAAGTGGCCATCCGTGTAAGATTGCATGTTCAACTCTTTTTAACACTGAGTCTTTGTTTGTCTCTCTGCTTACTTCCTGAGATGTGATGGGCAATTCTGGCTGTTCAAATATAAGGAATATCTCTCCTGGTTCGGGGATAGTCTTTTCTTCCACAGTAGTTGGTATACGCGATAATGCATCAACGTTAGTCATCTCTGCTGACCGACGATGTTCAATCCTATATGAGTATGCTGCTAATCTCAAACACCAACGAATCATTCTGGGTGAGATTAAATCAGGAATTGGTTTAGCAGGGTTCAGAAGGCCCACAACTGGCTTACAATCCGTATATATAGTAAAATTTCGAGCAGCTAGGTAATTATGAAATTTTGTGATGCCAAAGATTATAGCTAATACTTCTCTCTCGAATTGTGAATAATTTCTTTCTGCTGGGTGGAGTGTCCTCGATGCAAAGTATATAGGAGCTTCTGATCCATCTGGTAATATGTGTGAAAGTACTGCTCCAACTCCATATGGTGAAGCATCACATGACAACAATACTGGTTTATTTAAATCATAATGGATTAATAATGTTTCTGGTGTTAGCATCTTTTTTATCTTCACGAATGCTTTGCTTTGTTCTTTTTTCCAGATCCATGGTTTGTTTTTGTCTAGGAGTCTATATAATGGTTCAGCTTCCGTTGCTTTATCTTTCAAAAATCTATCATAGAAGTTTACAAATCCCAAAAATGCTTGTAACTCTTGTTTGTTTCTCAGGTCCTGAACCTGTTGAATCGCCGCAATTTTATCCGGTGTGGGTCGAATGCCCTGAGCATCTATCAAATATCCTAAAAATTGAAGTTGATTTGTTTTGAATAGGCATTTGCTTTTGTTCAGTTTTAGTCCAGCTTCTGAAATCCGGTTAAGAATTTTCCTCAACTTTTGATGTAGGGCTTCTTCATTGAGTCCCATGACAAGTATATCATCTATCATCACAATTGTCCCTGTAATACCTCCTACGATCTTTTCCATCTCTCTCTGGCAAATAGCAGGACAACTACTCACTCCAAATGGTAATCTTTTCATTCTATATAAACCCTTGCAGGTGTTGATAGTCAGTATCTCAGACGACTCCTGGTCCACAGGAAATTGGAAGTACGCTTCCTTAAAATCCAACTTGGCAAATACCTTTCCACCAGATAATGAAGCAAGTATATCGTTAATGGCCGGCAATGGGTATACATCTACTTTTATTGCCTCTCTGTTTACAGTGCAGCGGTAATCTCCACATAAACGTACACTTCCATCTGGTTTTGCAACGGGTACCACAGAAGTGGGCCACTTAGAAGTTCTAACTGGTTATTTCTAAAGTTTCTGAATTATTGAATAAATGCTGGAATTCTTGTATCAGATCCTCTGCATCATGTTGGTGATATAGTCCCTCTATTCTGATTCCTAATGGTTCAAACCAATTTCTTCCAACAAGTCCTGGTCCATTTCCTTTAATCACTAACAATGACAGATTCATAACTCTTCCTTTAAATTGTACACTCACCATTGTAGTGCCCACTACCTCCAGATTCTGATCCGCCCATGTCTGTAATTTGACTTCTTCCGGTTCTAACTGGTCTCGCTGGATTTTAATTTCTTTTAAGGTCTGTTCACTCACTACAGTGTACCCAGCCCCTGAATCAATTTCCATCATGACTGGTATATTTTCAATATTGATTAAGATTTTTAAGGGTGGTATCTTACTTCCACGTATTTTGAATAGAGATGTATATTCCTCTACCGGATTCGATGTTAAATTTTTATGTTCCTCAATTCGGTGTACTTTGGCTCTCTGGCTGGATACCTCTTTCCGTTGTGGCCCAATTTGGTTTCTTCCCTGGTTTGGAATTTTTCTTCCTCCACTCTTTTGTTTCGTGATACATGCTTTTTCTATGTGTCCCTTATTTCCGTAGAAATTACAGATTACCTGAGCAATTATTCGGGTTATGACTTCCGGTGCATCGAAAGCAGCGTAATATGGCCGACTCATTCTTTCTCTTGTAGTCTTCCTTTAAGTTATACACTTGGGCGTTGTTTCCATTTGGCCCAAGCTGGCTAACATCTTTAGATGCTGCCTCTGCTGCCAATGCTGCATCCAAAATAGCCTTATAAGTAGTGTCCATTTTTGCCAATAACACATGTTGTATTATTCGGGTTATGACTTCCGGTACATTGAAAACAGCGTAATATGGCCGACTCATTCTTTCTCTTGTAGTCCGCCTTTAAGTTATACACTTGGGCGTTGTGTCCGTTTGGCCCAAGCTGGCTAACATCTTTAGATGCTGCCTCTGCTGCCAATGCTGCATCCAAAATGGCCTTATAAGTAGTGTCCGTTTTTGCCAATAACACATGTTGTATTCCTTTATCCCTTAAACCAGCCACTAGCCTATCTCTTAACATATGCTCTAGTGAGGCGCCGAAGTTGCAATTCATTGCAATTCTCCGTAGTTCCGCAACATAGTCGTTGATACTCTCTCCTGGTTTTTGCGACCTCTGGTTAAATTTGAACGATTCGACGATTTCACTAGGTTTCGGGTTAAAATGACTATCAAGAGCGTTAAGTACTTCATTAAAGTTAACTTGTGTCGTTTCTTTCGGGGCTATGAGCGTTACTACAAGTTCATATAGAGTTTCACTGCACACAGTAAAAAATAAAGCACACTTATCTTGGTCATTTTCAATCTGGTTTGCCTTCAAGCAAAAATTAAAGCGGTCCTTGTAAGTTTTCCACTGGCTGTCCATCTTGAATGGCTCGAAACGAACTGCACTGGTTGATGTTCCTGGGATCGACATTTCTGGCTTTTAATCTCGAATTGTAATTTCTGCTGGTAAGTCTTTATCTTAATCCTCGTCGCCACTTTTATATCGCTTTTGTTTTCGACATTGTTGCACATAAAAAACACGTAGTTAATCAACAACTAACTTTATTCCTTCTCGATACAACCGACTGGGTGACGACTACACAAGAACTCTCCCCGACTCCCGAAAGGTGCGTTGGAATGTTCACCCCTGACCCGACACCCAGATCATGTTACTACAGATAAGTCACAACGTTACAACAGTGTCTCTTGTTTGGTCACATCAGTTCCATAATGTAATGTTAGTAAACTGATACTTTTTTGTGATGTCATGTCAAAACAATTATCTATATATCAAAAACCTTATTACTTTTGGATGATCTTAGAATTAAGATTACAAATGTAATCCAGGCAGTTATTGAATAGCAGCTGATGAATATTTTTGCAGAGTTTGAAAACAAGTTTGAATAATGTATCACATATGATTATAATTAGGTCTAAGTTTATTAATAAATCTGCATTGCATAAAAAACTTCATTAATTAATATTGTCAGATTGTAAGATTTTATCAATTTCATTTTGTATATACACAAAAAAACTTTATTANAGTAGAAAAATATTTAAAGATATGAAAACATATTAAAGTTATTTAAAAAACTATTAAATAAATTTTAGTGCTGCTTTAAATTTGTTTTACAACAAATACTAAAATTTCATATTACATTTTACCTAATATCTGACCACATAATCACAGGAAGTATATTATTTGCACAATGTCAAACTGATTAAAGTTTAAAAGAATTTTAAATGAATCACTGTTAAAAACAAACTGCCTTCTATATACTCCAGTTACTTCCTGTTATGTCATCAAATCATACATTAACCATTTGTTCTTAATTAATAATGTCTTGGTTATGTTAACACCTCAATGACTTTTTAATAATATTCAAATCTTTAATATTAAACAAGTTTCTGCCATAATAAAAGTGCACTTAAATTACAAATTAATTACACAGAATTCATTCTTCTCTCTAATTTCAAATATCTTAAAAAAGTAAAATAGAGCATAACTAGGCTGTGCAGAACTATTAAAGTGACCAACTTTTTTACAATGAAAAGGAAGACACAAATACAGTAAATTGAAAAAAATATATGATAAATAAAAGAAACATTTCATTCATTGCAACAATAATACACTATAATAATCTCTACAGCATGCATATATGCCATGTCATGTTTCGGTAAGAAGTAAAAAAGCCACTTGTATGTGACGCGCTCTCTCAAGGTCTCCCATACAGAGCACATGTCTCATAATAACATCTCGCTGCACTGTACCGAGCCTTGATGAATCGGCATGTCAAATACAAATACGCCACATCGCATCACACGCAATGGATTGGTTTGGCATTGATTTGATCGAATACAGAGAATTACAGATTAGTCTTCAAATATTGAAAAGGAGGACACACAGGAGGACACTTTTTGAGGGAGGACAGACCTTACAAAAGGAGGGCAATTGATCACCTTAGAACTATGTAATTTAGGGGACCCTTGACATCTGGTGCCCAGCACTATTTAGGTATTTTTTAAAAATTCATATTAATACATATAATTTTTAAATTATTATCAAATAATTATTACTAAATAAAGTTTTTCATTCAATATAAAAAAAGACTAAAAATTATGATTTATTTTTCTGAAATTAATGAGAATTCAAGACATATTTTGTGATCTCAAATTTTTATTTGTTACATTACTATTGATATACAAAACCACAATGAACAACTTCATAATCAAACTATAAGAAAAAACACTATACGAAAAAAACAGTAAAGTAGTCAACTTTTAATATGATAAAGTGATAGTTTTAGTGATGTTTCAGGATCTATAAATCCCTATCATCAGATCCAGAAATTCTGATTTTCAGCAGTTTAACATTCAAATTGGAACAATTCATTCTTATTTATATAAATATCAACAGCTGTGCAATTTTTAAGTTTGAATACAAAATTTGAACTAAAAAATTTTTACAAAGACTGAAATTGAGAAATAAAACTTAACAAGATTAGGATTAAAGTAAAATTACAAAATGAAATTAGATTGCTATAGGATAAAGTGTTTTGTAACAGTCTTTGATGGAATATTATGTAAAGTTTTACTCTATCTGGTGAGATTATTTATTTTGGCAATAGGGAGAAGCCCAACCTGCTGTTTACATGGGCTGAATATTGGTTGAAGGGACAAAATAGGGTAAATCCAGAGATCCAGGTCAATGCCTTCTTTCCTTTTATTTACCTGAAACCTCTGTAGTGGCAATTATAAGCTCTTAGCTAGTCTGAATGTCAGGAACTTTGAATTTGGAAGTAATTGCCTTATGAAAAGTTTTGATTAAAATGTCTTATTTATATTTCTTTCTACACAGATATAAGATTATAAAAATAATATGAAAAGTTCTCAATTTTCTTTGACTGATTAAAGTACAGTATGTTTATTTTTCTAATAAAGGGAATCAACTTCAGACATTACACAATAAAATGAAATTGGATTATTCAACCAAATATTTTCAATACAATTTATTTTATCATCATCATCATCATCATCATCATGATAACTTGTAACAGCTTGTATTCTAATGACTTAAACTTAATATCATAAGCATACTAAACAAAAACAAATATAAAGGTGTCTTAAAATTCTTTATGTAGTTTTAACTTTAACAACTTAATATACATAATTTAATATATATAATTTAATATAAATATTATAAACTTAAAAACTATTTGCAAGCTTAAATAATAAAGTTTTTTATGCATTAATTTTATAAATTCTCAGATAAATTGATAGATGAGTGTCTTTTATATCGCTTTTGTTTTCGACATTGTTGCACATAAAAAACACTAGTTAATCAACAATTAACTTTATTCCTTCTCGATACAACCGACTGGGGTGACAACTACACAAGAACTCTCCCCGACTCCCGAAAGGTGTGTTGGAATGTTCACCCCTGACCCGACACCCAGATCATGTTACTACAGATAAGTCACAACGTTACAACAGATCTTCCTCCTCTAAAATGAAGTCTCGGAGATATGCCGGTAGTGTCTGTGTTCTAGAGCTCCTTCTAACCGGTGGTCCTTTGTCCTGATGTTGATTATTCTGGGGAGCTGGATGTTGGTTGTTCTGACAAACTGGATGTTGCTTGTTCTGGAGTGGTAGTTCTCTTCGAGCTATCAGTTGATCAATATGTCTTCTTTCTATAGTTCCTTCTGGTGAGGCTATCATGTATGTATATGGTCCGGTCTTCTGTGTCACCTTACCTGGTTTCCACTTCTTAGCGTCTCTATAACATCTGTAATTGATGTTGTCTCCTATTTGGAATTCTCGTATTCTTGTTTCCTCTTTTCTCTCCTTATATAGGTGTGGATTTAATCGATCATAGACGGTACGTAGTCTTCTTCCCATCAACAGTTCTGCTGCCGTTTTTCCTGTAGTGCTACTAGGTGTTGTGCGTAAGCTAAACAAAAGTCTGGGGAGCAACACCTCACTTTTTTCTTGGCTGTGATGTAATTTTTCGATTCTCTTCTTTATAGTTTGCACTTGTCTCTCTACTTGTCCGTTGGAAGAGGGATGATATGGAGGGGTAAATATGTGCTGTATCCCATTTTTTCGTATAAATTCTTCCATTTCTTGGGATTTAAAGCTTTGATGATTGTCGGATACAATTGTATTTGGTAGTCCATGTGTACTAAATATTCTTCTCAATAGTTTCACGGTTTCCTGGGTTGACTGAGTTTGTACTTCTTCTACCTCCACCCACTTCGAATAAGCATCCACTAGAATAAAATATGTACGTCCATAATGTGGTCCTGCATGATCAATGTGTACTCGGTCCCAAGGTCCCGAGGGTGATGGCCAATGAGTGTCTTTAACTGGGGTTGGGTTTGACCTCTGTTCTTGGCATTTTCTACACATCGATACTGTCTCTTCAATCTGGGAGTCCATTTCAGGCCACCAAAAATAGCTCCTGGCTGTTCTTTTCATTCTAGACATGCCCTCATGTGTGGAGTGTAACAGGTGTAATAGCTGTGGTTGCAAGGTTCTAGGGATAACTACTCTTTGTCCCCATAAAATGCAACCGCGGTGAATTGAAAGTTCTAGCTTACGCCTAGCGAAAGGCATAAGTTCTTCTGGACTACTAAGTGGCCATCCGTGTAAGATTGCATGTTCAACTCTTTTTAACACTGAGTCTTTGTTTGTCTCTCTGCTTACTTCCTGAGATGTGATGGGCAATTCTGGCTGTTCAAATATAAGGAATATCTCTCCTGGTTCGGGGATAGTCTTTTCTTCCACAGTAGTTGGTATACGCGATAATGCATCAACGTTAGTCATCTCTGCTGACCGACGATGTTCAATCCTATATGAGTATGCTGCTAATCTCAAACACCAACGAATCATTCTGGGTGAGATTAAATCAGGAATTGGTTTAGCAGGGTTCAGAAGGCCCACAACTGGCTTACAATCCGTATATATAGTAAAATTTCGAGCAGCTAGGTAATTATGAAATTTTGTGATGCCAAAGATTATAGCTAATACTTCTCTCTCGAATTGTGAATAATTTCTTTCTGCTGGGTGGAGTGTCCTCGATGCAAAGTATATAGGAGCTTCTGATCCATCTGGTAATATGTGTGAAAGTACTGCTCCAACTCCATATGGTGAAGCATCACATGACAACAATACTGGTTTATTTAAATCATAATGGATTAATAATGTTTCTGGTGTTAGCATCTTTTTTATCTTCACGAATGCTTTGCTTTGTTCTTTTTTCCAGATCCATGGTTTGTTTTTGTCTAGGAGTCTATATAATGGTTCAGCTTCCGTTGCTTTATCTTTCAAAAATCTATCATAGAAGTTTACAAATCCCAAAAATGCTTGTAACTCTTGTTTGTTTCTCGGGTCCTGAACCTGTTGGATCGCCGCAATTTTATCTGGTGTGGGTCGAATGCCCTGAGCATCTATCAAATATCCTAAAAATTGAAGTTGATTTGTTTTGAATAGGCATTTGCTTTTGTTCAGTTTTAGTCCAGCTTCTGAAATCCGGTTAAGAATTTTCCTCAACTTTTGATGTAGGGCTTCTTCATTGAGTCCCATGACAAGTATATCATCTATCATCACAATTGTCCCTGGAATACCTCCTACGATCTTTTCCATCTCTCTCTGGCAAATAGCTGGACAACTACTCACTCCAAATGGTAATCTTTTCATTCTGTATAAACCCTTGCATGTGTTTATAGTCAGTATCTCAGACGACTCCTGGTCCACAGGAAATTGGAAGTACGCTTCCTTGAAATCTAGCTTGGCAAATACCTTTCCACCAGATAATGAAGCAAGTATATCGTTAATGGCCGGCAATGGGTATACATCTACTTTTATTGCCTCTCTGTTTACAGTGCAGCGGTAATCTCCACATAAACGTACACTGCCATCTGGTTTTGCAACGGGTACCACAGGAGTGGCCCACTTAGAAGTTCTAACTGGTTCTATAACTCCTAACTGATGAAGTCGATTCAACTCTTGTTCTACCTTTGTTCTCAATGCAAAAGGAACCTGTCTTGCCCGCATAAAAATAGGCTTAGCTTCTTTATTTATCGCTAAACTGACTGCCTCGCCTCGAAATAGACCCATTTCTGAATTATTGAATAAATGCTGGAATTCTTGTATCAGATCCTCTGCATCATGTTGGTGATATAGTCCCTCTATTCTGATTCCTAATGGTTCAAACCAATTTCTTCCAACAAGTCCTGGTCCATTTCCTTTAATCACTAACAATGGTAGATTCATAACTCTTCCTTTAAATTGTACACTCACCATTGTAGTGCCCACTACCTCCAGATTCTGATCCGCCCATGTCTGTAATTTGACTTCTTCCGGTTCTAACTGGTCTCGCTGGATTTTAATTTCTTTTAAGGTCTGTTCACTCACTACAGTGTACCCCGCCCCTGAATCAATTTCCATCATGACTGGTATATTTTCAATATTGATTAAGATTTTTAAGGGTGGTATCTTACTTCCACGTATTTTGAATAGAGATGTATATTCCTCTACCGGATTCGATGTTAAATTTTTATGTTCCTCAATTCGGTGTACTTTGGCTCTCTGGCTGGATACCTCTTTCCGTTGTGGCCCAATTTGGTTTCTTCCCTGGTTTGGAATTTTTCTTCCTCCACTCTTTTGTTTCGTGATACATGCTTTTTCTATGTGTCCCTTATTTCCGCAGAAATTACAGATTACCTGAGCAAATCTGCAATTATTCGGGTTATGACTTCCGGTGCATCGAAAACAGCGTAATACGGCTGACTCTTTCTTTCTCTTGTAGTCCGCCTTTAAGTTATACACTTGGGCGTTGTTTCCGTTTGGCCCAAGCTGGCTAACATCTTTAGATGCTGCCTCTGCTGCATCCAAAATGGCCTTATAAGTAGTATCCGTTTTTGCCAATAACACATGTTGTATTCCTTTATCCCTTAAACCAGCCACTAGCCTATCTCTTAACATACGCTCTAGTGAGGCACCGAAGTTGCAATTCATTGCAATTTTCCGTAGTTCCGCGACATAGTCGTTGATACTCTCTCCTGGTTTTTGCGACCTCTGGTTAAATTTGAACGATTCGACGATTTCACTAGGTTTCGGGTTAAAATGACTATCAAGAGCGTTAAGTACTTCATTAAAGTTAACTTGTGTCGTTTCTTTCGGGGCTATGAGCGTTACTACAAGTTCATATAGAGTTTCACCGCACACCGTAAAAAATAAAGCACACTTATCTTGGTCATTTTCAATCTGGTTTGCCTTCAAGCAAAAATTAAAGCGGTCCTTGTAAGTTTTCCACTGGCTGTCCATCTTGAATGGCTCGAAACGAACTGCACTGGTTGATGTTCCTGGGATCGACATTTCTGGCTTTTAATCTCGAATTGTAATTTCTGCTGGTAAGTCTTTATCTTAATCCTCGTCGCCACTTTTATATCGCTTTTGTTTTCGACATTGTTGCACATAAAAAACACGTAGTTAATCAACAATTAACTTTATTCCTTCTCGATACAACCGACTGGGTGACGACTACACAAGAACTCTCCCCGACTCCCGAAAGGTGCGTTGGAATGTTCACCCCTGACCCGACACCCAGATCATGTTACTACAGATAAGTCACAACGTTACAACAGTGTCTCTTGTTTGGTCACATCAGTTCCATAATGTAATGTTAGTAAACTGATACTTTTTTGTGATGTCATGTCAAAACAATTATCTATATATCAAAAACCTTATTTTTGGATGATCTTAGAATTAAGATTACAAATGTAATCCAGGCAGTTATTGAATAGCAGCTGATGAATATTTTTGCAGAGTTTGAAAACAAGTTTGAATAATGTATCACATATGATTATAATTAGGTCTAAGTTTATTAATAAATCTGCATTGCATAAAAAACTTCATTAATTAATATTGTCAGATTGTAAGATTTTATCAATTTCATTTTGTATATACACAAAAAAACTTTATTAAAATTATTTATTGATCCACTTATGCCAAAATTTGTCCATTATTTATTTTTTTTTTTATAATTTATTGTTACGTGTAACAATAAATTTAAAAGTTTGAATAAACAAGGAAATATTTTTCAAACCATTGCAGCTTAAATGGCTTTATGACTACAACCTTACATAAAATATCTACAGGTATACCTTGCCTTACGTCGGTAATTGGTTCCAGGAAAACGACGTAAGTCGAATTTACTTGTCTCCGAATCTACTTATCACTAGGCTAAACCGTAAATTACCATTCCCGGTTCTGTATTTTATTTATTAATGCATTTTTAATAATATATGGTTAATAAAAATCTATTTTAAGCTTACAAACAAATAAATTTTAGTTTTTAATATAGTACAGAAAAAAGTAATCTAAATTTACGAATGCATGTACTGTAAATACAGTACATACTTGTATATATTTTAATATGATTTTATGTGCTTTAAACGTTTATCTAGTGATATTACGACTTCAATATTTGTGGCGGACAGACGTAAAGTCGAATAAAATGACTTAAACTTGATTTTTATTTTTCCATATACTTTTTTAACAAGTGACGTATAATCGGGAACGACGTAACTCGAAACGACGTAAGTCGAGGTATGCCTGTATTTTGATGTTATTCAAAATAGAAAAGAGAAATCAATTACATATATACACATTCTATAATCTTAATTTCATTACTAAATGATAATAATAATTATAAGAAAGAAAAGCTGTCAAAAATTTTCAATACTTAACAGATGCAATAGTTGTTCCTAATTCTTGGAGAATATTTCAGTAATACAGTAGAATCCCAAAAACTCGGCCTAATGTGGACTGAAGGGTGGCCAAGTTTGTGAAAATGCCGGGTTATCAGGAATGGGGTTAAAAAAGAATAAGTATGAGTGTTTCCTCAGAAAATACTGTACTGTACTTGTATGTATTGTTTGCTTGAGAATAAAGCAGAGAATAAACTGCCCAAATACCCTTAAACAAAGGAAAAGTACATACTTTATGAAGGCATAGAGTCTTTACTACATGAAAATGAAAATTAATGAATACACAGTGTAAAGTAATTTACCTGATATGACAGACATCAGAAAAATACTTTATGAGGTATAAAGCTGTCTATAATAAAAATTAACTAGGGGTTTTTGCGCCCTGCCAGGGTGTGGTCGAGTTATCCATCACGTTTTCAGGACTCTACTATACAAGTTTTTCTGAGGAAGGTAGTATCATTTTGTGAAAATTAAATGGGTTTACAACCTCATAGTTTGAGAAACGCTGCCCCAGAGCAGTAGGCTGACACCTTAATAGCCTCAGTCATCTGACCAACTAACTCAGCATGTCTATAATCTCATAAGATTTTGTATAATAATTATACAAAATCTACATTATAAGATTTTGTATAATAATTTCTCACTGTATGTAGTAAAATTCTAGAATGTCAATTTGAACAAAATGAAACTTAAAACAGTTTAAGCATATAAATAAGGAATAAATTTTTATACTGATATTGCCCATTAAACAATAATATTTTAAATTTATATATTTTTTTATAAAAGGAATTTAAAAAAAAAATTAAGAAATTTAAGTGAACTTTAATCTCAAAATTTTTTAAATTAAATATAATATAAATTATCAAATTAAGTATCAGCCGTAAAAGCTGTTTTGATTGAAATTATGCCTCTGATAAGACATTAATGGTTTATCACTTCTTAAGAATCTCATAAAATTATCTTATCTTATAAAAATAAAATAAAATTAGATTGTCATAATGATTTTACAATAATTACTGTATAAGTGAAACAAAATAACAAGACTATTTAAAAATGAATCTAAAAAATAATGTAATGATGTAATGAATCTAAAAACTTTCAACAGAACATAATTAAAATAAAATAAATATGTCATATCAGAAAATCTCACACATTGTTTTATCTGCACATCTCTAATCAATCAAAATGACAACATAAATATAGGCATACCTCTAGTTACTATCTACTAAGAAAGTTAAAGAAATGTGTTGATGTAAAAGATGCAAATCAAGGAATATAAAAATTAAAAGGTTAAATTAAAAATTAAAATTTCTCTCTCTAATAGTAAGGGGGCTTACATAACAAAAATATTATTTTATAGACTGTAGGAAATTTTCAGGAGTAGAAAATATTTATAATGATCATGAATCAATAACAGAAAAATTAAAAAAAATTTAAAAAAATGTAAAACCATTAATCAAAATTCACATAATAGGTTTGAATTACAATAAAACTTCAATAAGCTGAACTGCATTAACTTGAAATTGTCTACACATCCCAAACAGAATATGTAGGCCTTTCCATATAATATAGTCTTATTCAGCTAAATTGTCAGTATCTTGTTAAACTACAAGTTTGATCTTACACAAATTACAAAATTAATTTATAAGTGTAACTGTATAATCACCATTTATGACATGTAAATTGTACAAATTTTTTCCAACTGATGCTGCATGGAATACATACAGTCAACAGCCATTTCAATAGCATCCTGTACATTACTGTCTGCTAATACTGACAGTACTAGTGGATAGTAATATACAAGAATGCTTAAGATAAATATATCTAGATCTCTTCCTGAACTATAAAACTAGTGGAGAGTTGTTTATAGGAGTTCTTTTGATGTTTTAAAGTAATTCAAAAAATCACAATACACATAGACTATCTGCAATTTTTTTGCGATAGTACTATTAACATAATCTTTGTACCATCAGCCCTCTAATAGTAGGGGCTGTCCATAAATTACATCTATATTTTTCTTGGAATTTTTATTTCCCCTCCTCAGATTGTCCCAGTTTGTCCAAGTTTCCATAACACCTTCCTCTCTTCAGACATCCAACTAAACTCAACCCCCTCTAAAATCTTTATCACTTTATGAATGTACAAACTGTATAAAATTTAATGAAATAAAATGAACATCCATTGAAGTTCAACCCCCTCTTGTTAAGAAGCAACTTTGTGTGGCTTGTCATAATCCCCTCCCTCCCTGTGTGGATGTCATTTATGGACAGCTAACATGAGAAACTATTGTGCATAAACTGAGTGATAATATATTATTTTTACTCCTCCTTATAGAACACCTTGAAGATCTTTTTTCAAGCCTAATGTAGGTTTTGTCAGGCCCACAATGAAGTGGCTGGGTTGTGAGGGACAGGTTCAATATATTTCAGACAGACTACCCCAAAAATTCCTGAGGTTTTTCGATCCATTTGGATTCATTCCTGGTCTCCCAATGCGACATGCCATAATATTCTTGGCCATTCTCTTTATAAATGTGTAAAAAAAGCTAACTACCCCACTAAGATAGCATTCCAAATTGCAAAAAAAAAAAAAACTAGAGTGAACAGACTAGTTACTTTACTGCAACAACTACTAAAATAAGTTTATTCTTACAAAAATATCAAATTTAGAAAGTACTCATAAATTGATATTTAAAAAAAGAAAGAAAGAGAGAGAGAGAGTAAAGCAAATCTCAAACATTACAGCTGCCTTCCTGGCCTCTTGACCTTTACTTCAGACAATTGAGAATCTATAAATATCATCATCTAAGAATCTTCAGACATTCAAAGTTCAACTGTTAAATTCACAAACTAAGAATTCCAGACATGTCTATGCTATTTAATTGTCACTGATGGAAGCAATCTTGAAAATCTGCTACATTAAATTTACAGCAAAGTAAACTATAAATAATAAACTATTGAAAGAACAGCAGTATCAGGATTGCCTTTTCAAACTTTTTATTTATTTCACAAATATTTAAAAAATAATAAATGACCTCTACTAATATGGCAAGACAACATCAAAAAATGAACTGGCTCAAGCTTGGGAAAAGCCTATAACCGTGAAAAGTGAAGAACTGTCCATCAACTGTAACCCATTATAAAGAGGATGCCATGTGAATAAATGAATGAATAAATGAGTATTTAATATTTTATTACAAAATTATAAAAAATAATGAAACTATAAAATAATAAACACTCATTTTTTATTTTATAACAAATAAGAGTAAAATAGGAAACTCCTTTTGAATGCTGTTTGCGTTTTAAGATTAAAAGGCAGCTGAGTTGTAGATCTCAGAAATTTATCATCATAATATATTTAAAAAATTTTTTTAGACAGGATTTATTAGCTATTCAATACAGCAGAGTCTCAATTAATAAAGACCTGTCTAACCAATGTTCCACATTATCTGAGATAAACTGTAGAAGAATACTTTGTCACCATTGACAAGTGAACATCACAGTAGGCTACAGCTCATTTCAATTTTTTTTTAGTAGGATAATGCACAGCACTCAAAATGAACTCTAGAAGTTTAAAAAAAGTATTACAATGGCACTTTCTTACAATACAAATTTTAAAAAAGATTTTTAAGATTTAATAATTGTAATCATAGGTTTGCATTTGCTTTAATAAATATAATTGTATATAAAATTGAATGCTGTATTTTTTATTCATCATTATATTCAATAAGTACTGTATGTAAAAAAAAAAGTACATTGTGCCAATTAGCATATCTAAATTCAATTTAAGATAATTTATGAAATATTCTGTTATCTGTCACTAAAGTTTTCTTACTAAGATTAAATATAGTTTAATTAAATATTTAAAGTCAAAACAGCTTTGACATTTAA